ACCCTCGGTGTCTTGGAATCCACTGTCACTTCTGACTGGTACTCTCGTGGTCATTGTGTTCCTGACTCTCAACCTCAAACACCTGCAGGTACATCCACACTTCTTGTACATCCACACCCCCACAACTAACCTTCATCCCTCTTCTGTACATGCTGGTTGCCTCCTCATGTCCTCAAAAGGTTCCTATATCTGTCCCTTTATGTCTTATTCAGATGTCTATCCGCCACATACCTGTTCCCATGCCCATTCTCCATACATGCCCCCAAGTGCCTGCCTATCCTGCTCATCTTGCTCGCCCCTCCCCCACTCTTGGTCTCTCAGGACAAGCTTTCGGTGACCCTGCTCTGCCTGTTTCCTTGTCGCCCTGTCCCGCTCTTTGTACCTCCCTCCACCAGGCTGCCAACATCAGCCAACCCCCCCCACCCCCCCTACCCCCGTTAGGTCCACTTCCTAGAACCGATCCTGCACCTGCGGAATGGGAATAGTCAATGCCTCCCAGGGCTGCTGAGGTGGATTCTGAGACAACCTGTGTAACAAACTCAGTAGAGAGCCCAGCAAACCTGGCGCTGTCTGCCGACTTCAGCTGAGTGGAAATACATTGATTTATACGCCAAGTTCTGGACTGCTCAATCACCCAAGTGACACCTCAGGATAACCAGTGTTCTGGACCAGCTTGAACTTGAGTGTGTGTGTGTGTGTGTGTGTGTGTGTGTGTGTGTGTGTGTGTGTGTGTGTGTGTTGAGGCAAGATCTTACTCTGTAGCCCAGGTCTCACAGCCACCCTCCTGCCTCAGCCTCCGGACTGCTGGAATTACAGGCGTGTACCACCATTCTTGTCTTGGACTCCTCTTGAGCCTGGCCTGAGGCAGCAACTGAGGCTCGGATGGTGGAAACCCGCTCCCCCGCCCCACACTTCCTAGTGCCCTTGTTTTTACTCCCGTCTTGCCCACAGACACCTGTTTGCCTACCTTTCCCTCAGGAAGTGGAGTGACCTGGAATCCCTTAATGTGAGCATGAAGGGCAGGAGGAGGGAATGGACGCACAGGCAAGCCCCTGTGAGGTGGTACATTAGCCTGATTTGGGGGATTGGCTGGGGGTGCAGTGAGGGGCCATTGGGCAACGAAGTTTCTGGTGAAATGACAAGAGTGCTCCCCTTCCCACCTACTGGGGTTCTTCTGTAGAGTTTTGGGGAAACAGAAGGGAAGAACTCCCAGGTTTGGGTAAAGGAGTTAGCACGGAGGAACCCAAGCACTATGTGTTTTCTGTGTTTGGGAGTGGGAGGCATCTGGGGGCGGGTCACTAGGCGAAGGAAAACGCCCTCCTCCCAGACTCTGAGCTTTTCCTTCCAAACTGGGATAGGCCCAACGGGCTTCCGGGAGGAGGTGTTGGGGCTGAGCTCTCTGGGCTACACAGGCGGGCGGGCGCACGTGGGCTCGCGACTCCTCGGAGAATCCCCGTCACCGCCGAAATCGCCGAAATTGGCTGCAACTAGTAAAGATGCCAGGAATTTGCACCTTGCTCTGTGACCTAAAGCAAAAATGACATGAACATTGACAAATTTGACAAGGAAATTTGTGCAAAAAACAACTTCTATTTGGCTAGCCAAGCAGCAAATATGCCGGATGATACGCTTTATTAAGCAATCCATTTCTCAGCAATAGCGGCGCCATCTGCAAAGGTTACCGCGCATCAGGCTCGGCACAGAATTTCATCTGCGTCTGCAGTCGGGGCCGCACGCGGACACATTTTTCATGTACATGCGATTCCGGATGCAAATAGAATCCGTGATGAAGGAGGTGACCTTCCGGGACGAGCTGCGCGCGCGCGCGCGCGCGCGCTAAAGTCACGCGCGGGCTTGCGGGGAGCGGGCGGGGCAGAGAGCTGGAATCGCGCGTGGGGCTGTGGCTGGTGGGCTGTTAGGGGATGAGTGAGAACCAGGAAATGGGGGTCGTTGAGGATGAATCACACATCTTTGGATCTTTTGGTCTGAAAAGGCTACTGGCGAGCACTGGCCCCATTCTCCCACTTCACTGATGTGGAAACTGAGGCCCTGAACCAGGGTATTGGCCAAGGTCATAAAAATGGCCATGATGGGATTGGAGCGATGTCCCTGGTAATTGACCTCGTATGCTAGTACAGAGAGAGGATTCAGAGATCCTGGGTTACTGCTAATGGAGTAACCTTGAGCGAATTAAAGCTTGCCTCAGTACCCTATGCTGTACCATGAGGCTGTGCTATTGTGGACATCACAACCTTGTTAGGAGAACTGCAGAGCACAAGCTCTTTCAAAATATTTGTTAACTGAGCAAATGTGCTCCTTGTCCTTCCTGGGCTCTGACTGGCAGAATGGATGCAGGTTAGGAGGAAAGGGTGGAGGAGCACCCTTCCCACAGCTGAGGGAGGCAGATGCTTAATCTCTCTCTCCCCAAGGGCGGTCCCTGTTCTTTCTGCTCCTCCCTTCACCCCCTCTGTCTAGCACCCTGTGTCCCAGCCCACCCTTTCCATGAGAAGAGATAAATTGCATTTCATTTCCCTTGATCAATTATTCCCATCTACTCCAGGCTTGTGGTCCAGTGAGGCTGAAAAGTCTCTGTCTGTCTGTCATGATCTGCCATATCTGTGCTCAGTCGCTCCTCCTCCTTTTGGCTTTCCATTCAATGGCGGGTCACTCAGGGCGATTTCACTGGTGAAGACTCTCTGATGAAGTCTGTCCATAACGTCTGTCTGTCCCTCCCAAGGGTTTTACCCCACACATCCTCTGTGACTTTTTTGTTGGTGTTTGAGACAAGGTTTCCTCACTATGAGGCCCCGGCTGGTCTGGAACTGGCTACGTAGACCAGGCTGGCCTTGAGCTCCCAGAGGCCCACCTGCCTTTGCCTCCTGAGCGCTGAAAAGGCATGCACCACCATGCCCAGCTCAGTGACACTTTTTGATTTGAGGTAAAGCGCCATCCCACCCCCTTCCCACAATTCCCCCTCTTCCTGACTCTTCCCCAGAACAATTTGCAGCTGGTATCTGCAGAACTTACTGTGATTTTCTTTTTCTTTTTTATGGTTTCACTCACACAAAAGCCCATGTCTATAGGTCTCCAGCCCCTGTGGAGGGGTTAAGCATCAGCCTCCAAAACCAGTCTTTGCACTGGGCAAATTTTGCTGTGAGTAGGCATGGTTCTCAAGGTCTCTCACATCTGTCTCTCTATCACCTTCTACCCAGTTCTGGAACCCATAGGAACTTTCAGGCTTCTTACCATGGAGAGTTCTGAAGGGTGACAGACTTGGTCTCAAAGGTAGGCTCCCAAATCTACCCTAAGGATAAATTTGAATAAACTTAAACTCTCCGAACCTCCATTTTTCCACCTGTATAATGGGGATATTAGTAGTTGGGAGAAGCCAATGAGTTTAAATGTCAAATCATTTTGTTTAGGTGAATTGATTTCTTTTCTTCTCCTCCAGTTCAGGGCTGGTTACCTCCCTCCCTCCCCCGACCACACTCCATGAGTGTGTTTTTCCAAAAGGCCAGGGTTTCAATCAAAATAATCCATCTTGTCCCCAGTTCCTCATGCTGACTACCCTAACCTGGACTAGGAAGAGAAGCCAGAAGCTGTTTGCTGGTCTGCTTAAACCTTGGGGGGCACCTGTGACATGTGGGCCCATGGGCCCCCCAGCACTGAAAGCGGCCATGGCCTCTCCACCCCTGGGCAGCAACAACAGGTACAGGCCAGCTCCGCGAGGAGGTGGTATTGGGGTGCCTGGCTGCAGAGGTCTGGGTCCTCGCTGGGGCAGGAAAGAAACCCTTTCAAACCGTTTCAAGAAGAGGCCCCCTGGACGGCCTTTACTCTTTGCCTTCATCTCCTTGTCACCCTCCTTCCCACCCTCACCCCCCAGTCCCTCCTCTCCCCATTCCGCTCCCTGGACGCTCGTCAGCTCTGGGGTTCCTTGACACTCTGCAGTCTAGAACATCTAGAGTCTAGACTGAGGTCCCTAGGGGCAGGGGAGCTAAGGCCCGCCCGGCAGGCCCAGTTCAGGAGTTGGCATCTCCAAGTTGCTACCCCACCTCGCTCTTCCTGGAACCTCTCAGGTAAGAAGAGCATTCTGGTCCCTCCCAGAGCACGGAGGGGCGTGGCCTCGGGGGCCGGGCCAGCGGCTCCGCCCTCCCCTCCATCTCTCCGCCCCTCCCTGCGCGGCCCCGGCAGGCCGGCCCGCCCCTTCCCCCGGCCCGGGCACGCTACAGTAATCCAGAATGTGTATTTCTGCAGATGATTAAATCAATACAATCCTGACAGGACTTGTTGGAACATGCTTCTTTATTTTGCGCAATTCCTTCCCCGCGTCGCCGGCATTTATCACCCACTCGGCTGTCAGCGCCGAGATTGTGCGGGGCGCGGGAGGGGTGGGGTGGGGGAGGGCCGAGCTGGGGGGGCCGGGCCCTCAGGCAGGCGCAGCCCACGGGCCGCCACCCTACACTAACACAGACAAATAAACTTAGGGGTCGCGCTGCGCCCCCACCTCGCGCGGCCTGCTGGTCTCCTGACACTCGGGTGGGTGGGGGCAGGGAGGGACCAGAGATTTGGGATGGGGGGGGGGGTGGTCAGAGAGGGGAGGGCAGCAGGAACAGGGTCCTCGGGCTGTACCCACATTGTCTTTCACACGCTGAGCCTCCACTTGGGGTTATCGCCCCGGGAAACCGGGCTCCTGTGAATCCGCTCACCCTTCATTGACCTTGGTCCTGGCAGCTGGGGACCCTGGAAGGTGGGGTGGGGGAGGGAAGGAGTCAGGCCTGGCGGGCGGCCCTACAGACGGATGAACCTTGTTGGCACTGCAGGCCGAGAGGACCAGGGAGCCAGGAGGAGGAGGGAGAGGAGGGAGAGGAAGGCCAGGGGCCAGATGGGGACAGTTAGGAAGAAGCAGAGAGGAGGAAGGGAGCGGGGGGGGGGGGGGTGAGGGAGAAAGGCTGGAGGGCGAGGAAGAGGAGGAGGGTGAAAGGAGGAAGAAGAGGCGGACG